AGTCTCCTAGAATTACTACGTTATCGTGCCTTGTGGCCTTAACAATTTCCTCCCATAGTAGTCTCCCTTGGTCCCTATCTTAGTTTGGGGGACGGTATATCACACCTAAAATAAATTTTTCATGTCCCTCCGAAAATTCTATCCAAACAGACTCTGTGTTACTTCAGACTTAATATCCATTTTTATGCAACAGTTCAAGCGATCTCGGACATACAATGCCACCCCACCCCCCTTCCTGATACTTCTGTCCACTTGGAACAATTTAAAACCCTGTATGTGACATTCAGCAGGCATGTCCCGATTTTTCGTATTGAACCACGTCTCAGTTAAGGCAAATACATCAATGTTACCTGCACTGACAACTAGTCTCAACTCGTCCATCTTATTCCTAGCACTGTGACTATTTGTGTAATATATATTTAAGGACTCTCCTTTCTCTTTACCCTTCCTGCTCCTTTCTGCTATTCCACTAAACCTATTACTGTCCTTGTCACCTAGTGCCACTAGCTTTCCAATATCCACCTCATTTTGCCTATTACTAGTTCTTCTAGTACTCATATTACTACACTGGGACTTCACAGTTCTCCTGCCAAAACCCATACCACTAACTATTCCTAGTTTAAAGACCTAACAGCTCCTTCCACTGCGTTGGCCAGTGCTCCCACCCCAAACCTAGATAAGTGAACCCCATCCCGTGCATACATGCCATTTCTGCCATAGAAGAGGTCCCAGTTGTCAATGAATGTTACCGCATTTTCCTTACAGTATTTGTCCAGCCAGCAATTGACACCAATTGCTCTGGACAACCATTCATTTCCAACTTCTCTCCTTGGCAAAATACCACATATGACAGGGTTCCCACCCTTCCTCCTAATTATCTCTATTGCTGACCTATACCTGCTAATCAGGTCCTCACTCCTACGTCTGCCAACATCGTTGCCTCCAGCACTGAGACAGATAATAGAATTGCTCCCATTACCTCTCATAATGTCATCCAGACGGCTAACAATATCCTTCATCCCAGCCCCAGGAAAACACACTCTGCCTCCTACTCCTATCCTTCAAGCAGAATGCCTTATCCATGTACCTAATCTGGCTATCCCCAGCAACAACAATGTTTTTATCTTCCTTGGCGACGTCCGTCGTGATGTTCCCAGTAGTCGACTCACATTCGTTAGGTAGCACTACACCTTCACTTGTGGAATTCGTCAAGACGTTTTCGATGGTCTTCATTGGGGTTTCTAGGGATGCCTCACTCACGTCTGCCAATGCTTCCTTGGTGCTCGTTGTGGCATTCCCAAAGAACACCCACATTCGTCAGGTAGCACCGAAAATGGGTTGGAAGTTTCCACAGTAGTCTTCTGGTTTCTCGTTGTTTCTGCCTCTCCAGCAGTCTTCTTGATCCTCAGCTTGGTTCCATGTTCCCTGGCCACTGACCAAGCTCCCCTCTTAACCTGGGGACTCAAAACAGGAGGATTACTACGAATCCTCTTGTTCTCCTCCGTTAATCACCGTATCTCCAGCTTAACAACCTTAAGCTCTTCTTTCAGCTGCTGGTAAAGTTGCTCAAGAGAGGGCATCCTGGTTCAGATTCACAGAGAGCACACAAACAGGTCTTCACAGAGCTAAGTACACGTCACCACTGGAAGGGATAGACTCAGAAGTGTCCCTGTTTGCGGATGATGTGAAGTTAATGAGGATAATTAAATCAGACGCGAACCAGACAGGTCTACAAAGAGACCTGGACAGGCTGGATGCGTGGTCCAGCAACTGGCTCCTAGAATTTAACCCCACAAATGCAAAGTCATGAAGATTGGAGAATGGCAAAGAAGACTGCAGACAGAGTATAGGCTAGGAGGCCAAAGACTGCAAACCTCACTCAATGAGAAAGATCTAAGAGTGAGTATAATACCGAGTACATCGCCAGGAGCACACATTAACCAGATAACTGCTGCGGCATATGGGCGCTTGGCAAACCTGAGAATAGGGTTCCGGTACCTCAGTAAGGAATCGTTCAAGACTTTATACACTGTGTACTTCAGGCTCATACTGGAGTACGCAGCACCAGTTTGGAACCCACACTTAGTCAAACACGTCAAGAAATTAGAGAAAGTGCAATGGTTTGCAACAAGGATAGTTCCAGAGCTAAGTGGAATGTCCTATGAGGAAAGGTTAAGGGAAATCTGTCTGACGACACTGGAGGACAGGAAGGTCAGGGAAAACATGATAACGACATACAAAATACTGCATGGAATAGACAAGGTGGACAGAGACAGGATGTTCCAGAGATGGAACACAGAAACAAGGGGTTACAATTGGAAGCTGAAGACACAGACGAGTCAAAGGGATGTTGGGAAATATTTCTTCAGCCACAGAGTTGTTAGGAAGTGGAATAGTCTGGCAAGCGATGTAGTGGAGGCGGGAACCATACATAGTTTTAAGACGAGGTATGATAAAGCTCATGGAGCAGGGAGAGGGAGGACCCAGTAGCAGTCAGTGAAGAGGTGGGGGCGCGCGCGCGCACGCACGCACACACACACACACACACACACACACACACACACACACACACACACACACACACACACACACACACACACACACACACACACACACACAACACACACACCACACACACACACACACACACATATATATATATATATAGAGAGAGAGAGAGAGACAGAGACAGACAGACAGAGGGTAGGTTCGACCCAAAAGCAGAGTTTCACTGGCTCAACATCACATGGCTGTTGTTGCATCACGTGTGTCATAACACACCTATTGCCATAACATTTGTAATCTAAAATGTTCACAGTGTCTTGAACATGAATATGAATGTTTCGTAACCTAACATTCGCCAAACATACCAAATTATTGACTTTAATTACAATACTTCACACACAACACACACACACACACACACACACACACACACACACACACACACACACACACACACACACACACACATATATATAATATATATATATATATATAAATATATATAATATATATATATATATATATATATATATATATATATATTAATGTCGTGCCGAATATGTAAAACTGGTCAGTTAGCAAGAACTCATTTAAAATTAAGTCCTTTCTAAAAAAAAAATTTCTTATACGTTTAAAGATATATTTTATTCATTAATGTTAATGTAAAATTTTTTAATTTTGCACCAAACGAATCTTAGAAAACTTACCTAACCTTATTATAACAAGAACAATTTATTTTAGCCTAATCCAACTAAATATATTTTAGATTTGTTTACAGTAATTAAATACTAAACAAACACAGTGAAATATATTTTTTTCGTTAGGTTCAGAATGATTTTGGCGAAATTATTGCATACACAAATTTTCACTTGTCCTATATGGCAAGATGAGCGTTGCTATTTAAGCCAAGATCGCAAGTTCTGCCTATTCGGCACGACATATATAATATATATATATATATATATATATATATATATATATAAATATATATATATATATATATATATATTATATATATATATATATATATATATATATATATATATATTCAAAGAAAATATTCAAACAGCTCCGGGGAGAACCTTGAGTTTTCTCTGAGGTACGTTTATTGTCTTCTCTGAGGATGAGGGTCCCCATTCCAGCTATAGAGGTGGTACTTCCCTATATATATATATATATATATATATATATATAATATATATATATATATATATATATATATATATATATATAATATATATATATAACTGCTGCAGCATACGGGCGCCTAGCAAACCTTAGAACAGCATTCGGATCTTAATAAGGAACCGTTCAGGACCCTGTACACTGTGTACGTTAGGCCTATATATATATTGGAGTATGCAGTACCAGTTTGGAACCCACACCTAGCCAAGCACGTAAGGAAACTAGAGAAAAGTGCAAAGATTTGCAACAAGACTAGTTCCGGAGCTAAGGGGCATGTCATATGAGGAGGGATTAAGTGAACTCAACCAGACGATACGGGGACAAGAGAGATAGGGGGGATATGATAACGACATAAAATACTGAGAGGAATCGACAAGGTGGACAGAGACAGGATGTTCCAGAGATGGGACACAGCAACAAGGGGTCACAGTTGGAAGTTGAGGACTCAGATGAATCACAGAGATGTTAGGAAGTATTTCTTCAGTCACAGAGTTGTCAGGAAGTGGAATAGTTTGGGAAGTGATGTAGTGGAGGCAGGATCCATACATGGCTATACGATGAGGTATGATAAAGCTCACGGAGCGGGAAGAGCATCCTAGTAGCGACCAGTGAAGAGGCGGGGCCAGAAGCTGTGACTTTACCCCTGCAACCACAGTTAGGTGAGTACACGCACATAGTCTTTGTGTTTCATCTGTACGCTACCTGTAATAACTACTCAGATCTCTGAAATGAAGATTAAATTAAACTGTATATACGCTGAGATACGTCTGTATACTTTGTTACTTATTGTCTCCCACTGCCTTTATATATTTACAATGATTGTTATTTCTAATTCAAAACAGCTATGATGTGTGTCAGTTTATTAGATTCAGTAATAATGTTTAATATATGCACTGGGCCCTTGATATGAGCAATATTGTCCGTAGTTTCATGTGGCGAAGGATGCCGCAGCTGTTTTTTCTGTTATGCTATGTGGATGTGTTGAGTACGATAACTGTGGTGTCATGAGCTGAGTTGCCACACGTGACCACACTTGCTCGTGCGCCTGGCAGCATTCAAGACTCAGTGCTGACAAAATACTTGGCTCATATTTTTCCACTGTGTAAATTACTCATAACTTATGTATGTATATTTAAGAAATTGTGGTGAACCTCGTCATTAATATCGAATCCCATGAAGCAGGCTGGTAAATATGGCATTTGATGGAGAAAAGGAAGTTAAAAATAAACATTATAGTGCAGTGTGAGTCACTGGCAGCGGTGTTGAGGTGTGTGGGCCGCCTGGCTGGCTCAGCTGTGTCTGTATTGTATTCAGTCAGTGTTGTGTAGTGGGGGCGTCTTGGTGCTCGTCTTTTCCTCATGATCTAGCATGCGCACTCTTTGTCTTCACCAGTATTTCCTCAGGTGGATAACAAGTGTGTGAGAGTGAGTTGTGCAAGCTTGTACCACGAGCAGTCTGATGCTCGTCCCACCAACAAACTGTGGTGTGTGTAACTTTAGCCTAAACACGTGCAGTGTTTATTGATTGATAATGATCATTGGTAATAAGTGATAAAATTATATTTTTTATCTGCAGCATTACAGAAGACCCTTTGAAAGAGGTTGTTTTACGTGTGAAATTGACCGCTATTAGTGATACACAAGTGAGGACGATGAGGCCAGCTTGATATAGTCTAGTCATTAATATATATTTCAAGATCTGTATATTGAGGATACAAAGGAACTATCAACATGGAAGACTCAGTAAGTCGTGTTATGTGGAAGTTACTCTCGTGGCTCAACTCATCATATTAGTCAGTACTTGGATGTGCAAATGTTGCACACATTTCAAATATTTATTTATTTATTTATTAGGCTGTTTCGCTCATCGAGTGCTTTATTAATCTGATGAAGCTCCCGACGAGTGAAACGTAGCCTAAATAAATGTACAAATTTTGCGAGTGTGTCCATTTACCTAAATTGATTGTTATTATATATATACCATTCATACTCTGTTCTTTGTATACCTGTTGGTTTTAGGTTAGATACTACTGTTGTTACTGCTACCACCCATAATATAAAAAACCAGGTGTTAATAAAATACTATAGCTCTTGTGGCTTAGCGCTTCTTTTTGATTGTAATAATAATAAAATACATTATGCTGCTTACGATATTTTTTGATGAGACTCGTCCACCGGGAAGTGTCATTTCTCACGCGTGGGTACAAAGGAAGAGAGAGAGCGCTCGCACGCGCAAGGAACATTACAATAAGCGTACTTGCCCATTCTAGGCAGGTCCAAATCACTCTTGCTTAAGAAAAGGAGCACTGCTGCATGCCTACTGGCCCAAGCTAGGCAGTTCAGCTCACACCTACCCACATCCACTCCTGTAATTGTTTAACCTATTTTTTATAGCCACTGGAGAGTTTGTTACAATCATGCAAAACTAATACCAAACCAATGCTTTCTTATATTCCTTGTAAATATAAACTTTTCCAACTTAAATCCATTGCTGTGAGCATTGTCATGGTTGGATATTTTTATCACGTTATTTACATTATTTATTACTATTTTCCATTTATTCACTTAAATCATATCATCCCCACATTCTACTTCTTTCTACAGAGTACAAATTTGGTGCCATCAGTGTATCCATGAATGAAACATTTCTGATACATGGGATCAGCTTTCTCATCCTTTTTTGTATGTTTTCCAGCGTATTTGTCACTTTTGTAATCCGTTGACCAGAACTACTCGCCATAATGTAAATGAGGCCTTACCAACGATACATAGAGTTGAGGACTTCTGTTATTTATACTTCTTAATATGAAACCAATAATATATTAGCTTTTTTGCAAACACTTAGATTACTGCTAACCAGAATTCATAAATCTTTTTCACATTCAGAGATTGACATTTACATTATTAAGTTTATAATTGTCACGGTTATTATCTTTTCCCAGGATTACAACTTTACTTTTGTCTACATTAAACTGAAAACTGAGAAACATGTGCAACATCTAGGTATCTTTATTGTATACGTTTCGCTATCCAGTGGCTTTATCAATACAGATTCTAGGACATAATTTGAAGACAGTAGAACTATATACAAAAGGTGAGGTAATCAGTCCCTCAACCTTGGAGTTGGTGTGATGAGCACCGTAGTCGTGAAGATTCTGGAGGAGAGGCAAGGCGGTTGGCGCTTATATACTAACGTCAGGTGGATTGGGACGGGCAGCAGACGAGGGCATAATCACTAGTAGGCGGGATTCAGCAATGGAAGTAGGTCATATCCAAAGGGATGGGTAAGTTGTAGTAGTAGTTGTAGCAGCTGTGAAGGAGGTCAAGTAGATGTCCTTTGAATCCATGGGGAATCCCGCCTACTAGTGATTATGCCCTCGTCTGCTGCCCGTCCCAATCCACCTGACGTTAGTATATAAGCGCCAATCGCCTTGCCTCTCCTCCAGAATCTTCACGACTACGGTGCTCATCACACCAACTCCAAGGTTGAGGGACTGATTACCTCATCTTTTGTATATAGTTCTACTGTCTTTCAAATTATCTCCTAGAATCTGTATTGATAAAGCCACTGGACGGCCAAACGTCTACAGTGAAGATACCCAGATGTTGCACATGTGTCTCAGTTTTCATCATGTCCGTATTGTATATCATTCTTGTACAACTACTTTAAACTGCATCTGTCACTTCTTCCGACCACTTTCTCAACTTATCCAACCCCCCCCCCCCCCCCCCCACACACACACACACACACACACACATAATATATATATATATATATATAATATATATATATATATATATATATATATATATATATATATATTATATGCATATGCATGTATGTGTGTAAGCAAACACTCAAAACATTTTATTCAGGGGTGAACAAGGTGCCGGGCCGAAACACTTTCAGGATAAACTGTAGTAAATGTTCACGTGTTTTGTCCACTGATGTTTATTATCGTACACTCAGGTGTTGTGCAGCTTGTATACACATCAGTGGTGTTAATTGTAGTAGTACAAGCACTTCTGTCAGACGTCAGGTGTTCAACACACCTCCAGTGAATCTCCAGAGTCTTTCTGGCACTCGGCCTGAATGCCCAGGAATGGCTCAGATGGAGTTGAAAGACTCACCTTACCCTTGTTATAGGGCTGCCCACGCCATAGGACTGTAAACAGTACTCCACTTGACCTGAAGACGACTCACCGTGCCATTGTCATAGGGTTGTAAAGGGTACTACATCTGACACGAATGCTCACCATCCTTCTGTCATAGGGCTGTAAACGGTACATCACCGTGTACACTCCGGTACTCCTTCGGGAGCCACTGCCGGGTCACCACATGGATAATACCCGGGCCAGGACCCGTCGTGGCACACCTACATGAACATGCAGTAGTAGTAGCGGAGGAGGTGGTGGTGAGGAGAGGTTGTACTTTGAGGTGGTCAATTCCTCACAGTCCTTGATCAGTGTTGATATTGGCCTTGGGGCAAGACTTGGTGTGGTAAGTAAGACACATGTGCAACAGTTAGGTATCTTTATTCCAAAACATTTCGACTGAAGAAGCCTACTGTGTAGGCGAAACGTTTTGGAATAAAGATACCTAACTGTTGCATATGTATTACTTATCAACCTGTCAGTATTGTATACCATTTTGATATTCAAGACTTGGTGTGTATCAGCTTGGAGGTTCAGTGGATGCCACTCATACACAGTCTTGTATCGTCAGCACAGGAAGATGCGGTGGGGTGGGTTATGTCCCTTTTTATGATTGACATGAGAAAAAGAAACGGGACGAATGCCGGCCTTTGACGTTATTCCTTTTGCACCCACCCATTTTGTGTGCAATTGCTCCATGGTCGCACTTGTCGAAGGCTTTCGCAAAGTCACTGTACACTATAACTGCATGGTGCAGATTTAGTGTATTCAAGACCATGTAATGATCCAGCAGTTGAGACAGGAGCGACCTGTTCGAAACCCATGTTGTCCTACGTTATGCAATTACTGCAGTTCTGTGCGATTGGCAGTTTTGCTTTTTAAAATCCTTTCAAAGGTCTTAGTAATGTGGGATGTCAAGACTCTTGGTTCATATATAGTTTTCATGCAACTGCTGCACTGCCACCTTTGTAGGGTGGGGCTATATCGGTTTTTAGTGGCTAGTGTCCAGGCTAAATTTTGCATACAATATTAAGGTACGGAAGTTGAATGGTAGCTCTACTGGAAAACAGCCTTGTGTGAAGGCTCTCAGTGGGAGTGGAGTAGACCTCTAATGGCGTGTCGAGGATGACATACACAGTGTGTGTGTGTGTGTGTGTGTGTGTGTGTGTACTCGCCTAATTGTGGTTGCAGGGGTCGATTCATAGCTCCTGGCTCTGCCTTTTCACTGGTCGCCACTAGGTCCACTCCCTGGTTCATTAGTTTTATCATACCTCTTCTTAAAGCTATGCATGGTACCTGCCTCCACTACCCCACTTTCTAGACTGTTCCCCTTCTTGACAAATCTATGGCCGAAGAAATACTTCCTAACATCCCTGTGACTCATCTGAGTCTTCAATTCCAGTTGTGTCCTTTTGTTGCTGTGTCCCATCTATGGAACATCCTGTCTGTCCACCTTGTCGATTCCTCTCAGCTAGTGTGTGTGTGTGTGTGTGTGTGTGTGTGTGTGTGTGTGTGTGTGTGCGCGTGCGTGCGTGCGTGCGTGCGTGCGTGTGTGTGTGTTGTGTGTGTGTGTGTGTGTGTGTGTGTGTGTGTGTGTGTGTGTTCGCCTAGTTGAGGTTGCAGGGGTCGAGTCCTAGCTCCTGGCCCCGCCTCTTTACTGGTCGCTACTAGGTCACTCTCCCTGAACCGTGAGCTTTATCATACCTCTGCTTAAAGCTTTGTATGGATCCTGCCTCCACTACATCGCTTCCCAAACTATTCCACTTCCTGACTACTCTGTGGCTGAAGAAATACTTCCTAACATCCCTGTGATTCATCTGTGTCTTAACTTCCAACTGTGTCCCCTTGTTGCTGTGTCCCATCTCTGGAACATCCTGTCTTTGTCCACCTTGTCAATTACTCGCAGTATTTTGTATGTCGTTATCATGTTCCTCCCCCTATCTCTCCTGTCCTCCAGTGTCGTCAGGTCGATTTCCCTTAACCTCTCCTCGTAGGACATACCTCTTAGCTCTGTGACTAGTCTTGTTGCAAACCTTTGCACTTTCTCTAGTTTCTTTACGTGCTTGGCTAGGCGTGGGTTCCGAACTGGTGCTGCATACTCCAATATGGGCCTAACGTACACGGTGTACAGGGTCCTGAACGATTCCTTATTAAGATGTCGGAATGCTGTTCTGAGGTTTGCTAGGCGTCCATATGCTGCAACAGTTATTTGGTTGATGTGCACTTGAGGAGATGTGCCTGGTGTTATACTCACCCCAAGATCTTTTTCCTTGAGTGAGGTTTGTAGTCTCTGGCCCCCTAGACTGTACTCCGTCTGCGGTCTTTGCCCTTCTCCAGTCTTCATGACTTTGCACTTGGTGGGGTTGAACTCCAGGTGCCAATTGCTGGACCAGGTTTGCAGCCTGTCCAGATTCCTTTGTAGTTCTGCCTGGTCTTCTATCGAATGAATTCTTCTCATCAACTTCACGTCATTTGCAAACAGGGACACTTCGGAGTCTATTCCTCCCGTTATGTCGTTCACAAATACCAGAAACAGCACTGGTCCTAGGACTGACCCCTGCGGGACCCCGCTGGTCACAGGCGCCCAC